TAAAAAATTATAAAATTATACTAGTCTTTGCTTAAAAAAATGGCAATTGTGTGACATTTTCGTGTGCTTTTTTGTTGTGATTATCACCATCAGAATATACACTTGTTAATTTTTTATAGGTCTCTGGAAATGTTTGTGCTTTCTTTCGAAAAGGTACTTGATTTGAACACGACAACAGCACAAGAGCTCAATGCACGTTTTATTCAAATTTTTTCTTGGTAATAAAATGATTGACACTTAGTCTTATTGTAATAATAATGGTAAATTGTTGTGGATAAGATATCCTGTCCTTTTCAAACTCTATAATTAAAAATCATGCAAAATGCATTTTTAGTAAATCGCAAAAGTTCAAGGAAATAAAACAATACCATTGTATGTTTCACTTTATGTAACGATAAATTGAAAAGCTGATTGATAAAGCAACTAAGCACCATATCACATAAATGTTAAAAAGTATTTGATGCAAAAAGATTTGAATAGGTTCGGTGTTCTAACAATACAAAAAATATATAGCATTAATCAATCATTGTAGTCAATGATAACAACGATAAGCCTTAAAAATGTAGTAAAAAGAAGATATCAAAAAATTTACACCAGATGGAATCAGTTTGATGGTGTTGAATAAGTTTAATGAGACAGCAGAGGCGTTTGTTGGTAAGAACTTTAACAACGCAGTCATCACATGTCCAGCCTATTCCAATGACTTGCGGCGACAGGCAACAAAGGATGCGGGCACAATTGCAGGGATCAATGTGCTCGGAATCATTATTGAGTCTACAGCAACAATAACATATAAACTTGACAAGAAGACTGAGATTAAAAAAACGTCTTGATCTTTGTTCTTGAATTTGGAACATTTGATATGTCACTTATTGCTATTGATTATGGTGTCTTTGAAGTTGAGGCAACAAAGGGTTACACACATATTGGTTATAAAGACTTTGATAAGAGAATGGTGAACAACTTCATTGCTGAGTTCAAGAGAAAGTACAAAAAGATATTTCGAGTAATGCACAAGAAATCAAAAGACCAAAAACATCACATAAAAAACAAAGCGAACACTATTATCTGTAGCAACAGCAAACATTAAAGTATATTAGTTGTAATATAAGTATGAAGACATCTACTTATACACATTAATTACAAGAGCGAGTTTTGAAGAACTTGACATCGACCTCTCCAAGTCTACAATAGCACCAGTCGAGAAAATGATTGAAGACTCCAAACTAAACAAAGGGAGCATTGATGATGTTGTGCTTATTAGTTGATCAACTGGTATTCCAAAGGTAATGGAGATACTACAAGACTTCTTCAATGAGAAAGAGATAAACAAAACCATGAACACAGAAGCTTTAGGATATAATGGTGTTGTACTATTCTGATAAAGAGTAGTGGAAAGGTAACGGAGATTGTCTTGCTATACGATATACACAACCAATTCTTTCAGATTTTTTTCTTGTATAAGTATAAACGAGACACATTTTTTCTAAACGAAAAGGAAATAATGTATTCCTATTAGTTGTTGTGTAATTTCCAGCTAAAGAAAACAACCTTTCGAATGCATACTTGCACATAAAATAGATGCATGATTTACTCCAAGTTTTGAAAGAGCAGGCAAGTATAATTCTTTGTTTTTCCAATATGTCGCAAAATCGTTGAAATTGTCATTTTCAAGAGGTTCATTTTCATATCTCATCATTTGTGACAATACATCAATATTTGTATTTCTCTTATTTCGAAGAGTTACAGAATATCTCAATTTTGGTGTTGCTTCAATTTGTTACAATTCTTGTGTTTAAGAAACAATTGTTTTTTCTTCAATATAAGATTTGATTAACATCCTTATTTCATCAACCTCTTCAATGTTAAATACCGACAATTATACTACAGGATTAAGGTAATTTGCTAACATCACTTTTGGATCTTTTCTTAAATTGTACTCCCCTTCATAAAAATAAAAATTTATTGATTTAATTACATCATCTAAAAATTCAATTTTCGTTTTAGTCAAATCAAATTTAAAATGTTTTTTTTTGTAATCGAAATTTACATTTTTAAGTTGTTTTGTGGTATAATTCAAACAGTAATCTGGGTGTATTCTTTATCTCCATTTGTTAAAGTAAGTTTCGTTTCTTCGAAAATTTCATTTGTGTTTTTATTGGATTCCATTAAATCAGCTAAATCATTTTTAAGTTGTTCAGTTTCAACGTACAAATAAAACAATGTTGGTATTTTTTCGGATGATAAAAAATCATATGTTTTTTTAATAGAATTCATTACATTTCCAACGAAACCAATAACTTCAAAATCACTTTGCAAAAAAGTGTGATTTGCAATAAACAATTCTTTTTCTTTTTTGTTTTTTTTTATTAATTTTGAACGTTCTATAAACAACTGGTTTATTTCTTCATTACTCAAAATTACACTTTCTATCATTCCAATCTTTGTAAACCATCTAATTTCTATATCAGTAATCAATTTTTTATACTCCTTGTGTTCTTCTTCGAAAATGTTCTTTAATGAAGAAAAAAGAGTTAGACTTTTTTGATCTTTTTCACAACTGTCTTGGCTTTTTTGAGGACACTATTAATTGACAATGTATCTGTGGTTGATTTTTTAATTGCAAGATTTAATTTGTGGCATGAACAACCGATTGATTTTAGTCCTGCAGCTTCCACCGCACCAACAATATTTTTAGCATTATCACTGATAACAACAAAATCTCCAAACTTTTCCAATGACCAATTTTCAATGCAATTGAGAAGAAAGATGGAAATATTTGTTGTTGTATGTACATGTAAAAATTAAGTAAGTTGTAGAACACGAGACGTTATTTCTCCATTTTTATAAAAGTGAATTGTGAAACTGTAAAAACTCAATTGAGTTTTTGATGTCCAACCATCGACTGTAGCACATATTCCATTTTTAATTTCATGTATTTCGTCTTTGGTTTCTTCTTTGTGTTTTTCATATATTTCTTCAATTCTTGTTGTAACACTTTGTCGACTGGGGACAACATATTCTTGATCAACCATTTTCATTATCAATTTGAATGGTTCCATTTCGACAATAGAAATGGGTATTCCTGGATAAATACACAAATGGGTTAAAAGTGAGTCCAAATTTTTATGTGTAATATTCCAGTCACGATAACCTCTATTATATAAACTTCTTTCGGATGTCTGTGTGTCCATATTAATATGATGATTGTGAATTAAATGATTTCGCATATTTGTAGTTACTAGTTTGTTAGTACAAGCAAAAGAACAGCGACAATTACCAACTTGACATTGATATTTGAGTATACCATGGGGTCTTAAAAAGTTTTTGTTTTACTTTCTTTTTACACGTTTATTTTTATTTTTTTGTGTTGCATTTTTGAAATATTTCTTAATATTTGTATTTTTTGATGATATTTTCAACTGGTTTATTGTCAACCATTTGTATTTCAACTTCAACCAATGAACAGTTTGACCAAAATGGTCCAATAACTTGAGCTTTATCATCTATTATTTCTTCCATGATTAATATTGTTTAATTATTCAATTTATATACATTAACATTTGAATATTTTGTATGTTATAATTGTTTTTGAAAACAAATAAATACTTTAAAAATGATTTGTTAAGATTCTGGTTTCAATATGTATATAAGGATTAATAGAAATAAATAAATAAATTATTAACATTGGTTTTTATCATTGTTTGTAAATGTCATTTTACAACACAATTAAAAAATAATGTTTGAGAAAAAGTTGTTTTGAAAACAAGTAGTTTCAAAACACGGTGTTTGAAAACCCAACAGGTATTGTTTATTTTTAAAACAATTTCAAAAACTGAAATTTTTTCACAAACTTTTTTATTTGTGTTTCAAAACATAATAAAATAATTTGTTTAGGAAATAAACTAAGTCAAAACACAATTTTGAAAACAAGAAATATTTCACAAAAATTTAAAAATTTCTCAGTTTTGAAAACTGTTTCGACATTTATACTGCCAATCCGAACAAAAAGTAATCAGAGGATGTATTCGACAGAATGGGGAAAACTGCTTAAAGTGTGATGTTGGTTATATTCTATCATATAAAGCCTGCAAAAGACCGATGAAAACTGTAATATACTCAAAGAAACGTCCAGTGATGTTATTTGCACATCTTGTAGAGAAGGATATTTTATCAATAATAAAGGAATTTGTACGATGTGCGAACTTAGTGGAGAAAAAGGTAAACAGTACGACAGTTTGTTTGAATATTATGATACCACCAAGTGTACTCAATGTAATAAAAGATGTAAAGTTGATAGAGGAAATTGAATTTCCAATTATTGTGTTGAATTCAAATCAGATGGAAAATGTGGTATCTGTGAGGATGGCTTTTATACACTTAATGGAGAATGCAATCTATTTGCAAATGATGGATTAGATACCTCTTCTGAAAAACCAATGTGCAAGACTGGGTATTATCTTGATTATAATATTGAAACAAAAATTTATTCATGCAAAAAATGCAAAGGACATTTTATGGAATGTTTGACTGCAAATACACCAATGCCTGGAAGTTCTTTGTATGATAACTGGAAGTCAACTAAAGCAGAACCATGTGATGATGAAAATTGTGCTCAATGTGCCGATGATGGTGTGACTTGTTACAAATGCGCTTTTAACAATGGCAATTCTAATGGTGTTTTATTAAATGGAAAATGCATATTAACTCCAATTGACAATATTATAGCAATTGTTGATACTTATGACACAACTTATAAGTTCTGTAAGTACAAAGGAGTCAACTCGTTTTTTGAAGAGTTGGTACCTGGATATAACGAGACTACCAATCCTGGAATTAAATGTAATCCAATATTAAGAAAAAGTTACATGTACAAAACACAAACTACTGGTAAAACCAATTATGAATGTGCCAAAAGCAACAGAGATGTGACCAAAAACTGTATGTGTAAAAATAGATAGTATCAAAAGAATGCGTCAATTGTGACCGATCGTGAAAAGATGACTTTTCTTGAAGTATGTATTGAGAGTGCCAATGGTAAACATTGCACGCTCTGCGCAACTGGAGCAAAATACACATCAGAAGGAAAGTGTGTATGTCCAACAGGAACTTATTTAAAAGATGAAAAATGTGAAAAGTGCATTGATGTTAACCGAAAGCCGGTTACAGGGAAAATGTGCGAAGGATCAATGATGGGTATTATTTGGGTGGAGAAAGCTGTTTGATGTGTTCGAAGAATTGCAAAGTATGTGAAGATCAAACGAAGTGCGTTAAATGCGCCCTTGAAAATAACTTTGAAGGAACTCTTGTTGATGGAACATGTGTGTGCATTGAAGGATATGTCTATGACACAAAAACTCAGACTTGCGATCCATGCAAAGACAAATTGAATGAATTTTGTTTTTCGTGAAGTACAAAAAATGCTTTGTGTGTAATGCAGAGTATTTTGAAGCTAAGGGAGGCGAATGTGTGTGTAAAGAAGGGTATTACACGACATCATGGGGAGCTTGTGTGCCTTGTGATAGACATATCAGTGGATGCATAATTTGCAATGGAAAAGATTCATGTAGTAAATGCAAAGATGGGTATACGCTAAATTAAACTTCAGGAAAGTGCAATGGAGCAATGAAGATGGTTATTATGATATTGACCATTGTTCTTGCACTTTTGTTTTAAAAAATGGGTTTTCTATTTTAATGTTATTATAACAAAAATGTAATGAATTGTATATAATTTTTATGTTTTAAATATATTATTTTGGTAATTTTAATACCAAATTATCATGATTTATAACACTTTAAAAAACAATTAATCATTATTGATAATTAAATATATAAAACTTTATCATCAATGTTTAGTATAGCATAATTGTTTAAATATATTAATTTTTCGCTGAACAAAGGTTGTTATTGTTTATTTAAATAAGTTTTCAATTAAATTATAAAAACACAATTAGGTATAAATAATATTATTAAATAAATAATGTAATATATATATCGTAAAATCAATTATAATTATATTCACTTTACATTATTTGACTTTGAAATTTTAAAAATCCAAATTTTCTAATATCGACTTTTAAATAATAATGTAATTTTAAGTTTAATTTAAGACAACATTTTAAAAATATTAACTCGCCGACAACCCAATACCGCTTTTTAACAGGTTTTAAATTTTTGTCAATAATGATAACAATAAAAAAATGATTTTTGATTGTTTATTATTTATTACAAAAATGTTAAATCTTCTGATTATAGACAAAAATATAAAAAAGTTTCCCATTTATTATCTTTAGTTAGTCTAATAACATAATCTGTTCAGAAAAGTTATCTGATCGAAATTTAATGGTGTTTTTGTAAAAATTGGAAATTAAGTATAAACACACAAAAATGTGAAAAAAATCGAAACTATGGTATGATTTTTTAAAATGGTTTCCCGCATTTATTTTCTTGGTTTGATCCAAAATGTACTATATAACATTTCCGAGTAGATAACATTGTTAGACCGATTAAATAATTTGAAAATGACAAAAATTTGTACAAATATAGAAATTTGTTGTTTCTGTTTTATTAGAAATAAAAGTTTTTTAATAAGTAAATTTATTTAATATTTAAATGTCTGAACTTTATAAAAATAACGAAAAATAATGGCTTAGACAGAATTTTACAACAAACTCAATTCCATTTTCGTATTATTAAAACGGGAATACCCAATTCAAATAGTTTTTTAAAACTATATAATTCAAATATGATAAACCGAAAAATAAAGTTGCTTTTCAATGGTAATGGTGCTGTTGGTAAAACAAGTCTTCTTATTAAGTACACAACTGGTGAATTTCCTTGTGAATATGTACCCACTGTAATGGAATGCTGTACAATGAATGTGACTTACAAAGACATTAAATTTAATATGGAATTGTGGGATACCGGCGGAGGAGAGGATTACCCTCGTTTGAGACCGTTGAGCTATCCAAATACGACATGTTTTGTTCTATGTTTCTCACTTGTTAATTTGAACTCTTTTAATAGTCTCAAAACAACTTGGTTGCCAGAAATCAGACACTTTGACCAAGACATTCCAATATTGCTTGTTGGTCTTAAAAGTGATTTGATAGAATCAAATGAAAAAATTGAAAGTTGTTATTTTAGATATATATATCAAAAAATAACAACTGAAAAATGTCTTCAAATGGCTAAAGATATAGGAGCAAACGGATACATCGAATGTTCTTCTTTTAATAATAGTAATGTTAATGTGGTTATTAAAAAAGCCATTCAGTTAAGTTATGAGTATCTTCGTACTTATAAAACATTCAAAAAATAATTATTTTGTTTGTTATTATTTTAAATGTGTTTTACAGTAAAAACTACTTAAAATAGTATTTGTGAAGACTGGGAATTTTTTAAATTTAAACTTAAAAGGAGTTCTATATAGAGCGGCAATTAATGTTTGATTGGATGAAAATGACCACTCTTGAAAGAACAATCATTAATACATTTTTTACTCTCTAGAGCTTTTACTAATAAAGTTAGAAATTAATTTTAAAAAATAAAAATAAAATTGACAATAATTTCAATGTCAATTTTATTATTGATATTTAAAAATTGATTTGTAATCCAATTTATTAATGGTTCTATTACAAATTTATTTACAGTGAAATGTCTCAATATTGGGTTCCCTCAATAAGACCACCCTCAATATTGGCATTTATTGACCAATAAAATAAGTTTTCCATTATTAAGGGGTTTAGTTTTTAAATAAAAATTGTTTAAAATAACGGGTTTAATTGCCAAAGGCATATTTATGAATTGTGTAATATCATTTTATTAATTAAAAATGAATTAATAAAAACTCTTTTAAAAATTTTTATTGACAGTTTTAAACAATGACTATTTTAATAACTTTATAAAACCTACCATTCAGTTACCAATTTGATTTTATAAGTATTTATTCAACACTGTCCCGCAGATTACCAAGTCTTTTTTAAGTAAAAGATTTCATTTTCTGCAACATGAATAATTTTTTATAGTTGTGTAATTCTTTTTTTATTTTTTTAAAATTTCTTCTGCTTCAATCATAAATTGAACTTCCTCACCTCTGATAGTCAATGGTTTATATTAATTGCTTGACGTGGGTGGAAAGTTTTCATATAAAATTTATTGGAATAGTGACGAACGTGTTGAATTGTTTAAACTGAAACATTTTAATTTGACTCAGAAGATATTATTATAATTCAACATGCAAACTTCACAATATCTTCAATATTTGTTTTTTGAATCATGTATTCTCGTGTTTAAAACCGATATAATAATACAATAATAACCACATAATATAATTTTGTAATGTTTTTTTCAGTGCCATTGTTATTCCTTAATCACACGACTATGTCTAAATTGTGTTTACATATGGTTTATATCAAGTTTCTTATATAAAAAATTAATAATAATGTTTGTAAAAAACAAAAAAAATTTTTGAAAAAACCACTAATGAGGGGTTTTACTGTATTTATATTGCAAATGAACTCTGATATATTGAAATAATTAATTAGCTAGTTATCTAAATATATTTATTGGTTCGTTCAATGTTATTTATTATTATATTATCAAATAATTATCCAAAAACACTCAGTTCAGAGGTTGAGAAGTTGTTATTAAAAATATGAAAGAGATTGGAAAAGATAAAAATAACAAGTAATGAGTTTGAAAAAAGTCTCGATGTTCGACAAGTTTAGAAGGAGTTTGTAGTCTTAAAAGAGTCCACTTTAAAGGCTCTTATTTTATTGCAAATAAAAATTTTATGGTCACAAAATAAGCACAATCAACAATACAAAAAGAAGTCAAAATGAAGTTTATAAAATACGTGGAAAATAAGTTACTCTAAATACACACCAATTGTATTGTACACAAAGATGTCAAACCAGACAATTTGCTCGTGTTTTCACTTGATCTCAACAACAAAGTAATTGCAATACTGATTTTAACAGGACTGGAAATATCAATTTACTAATGACTTACATTACTTTTACCAAAAATTGGTACACCTATATATATGGCTCCGAAATTATTAAAACCAAAAAATAAAAAGACCCCCTATATTAATTAATACAATTATTTTAAATGAGTTATCACCATATTTTTTCCTTTGTAATTACTTTGTTTAAAACTTTTAAATAGGAAAAACGTACGATAAAAAGTTTTTTTTTCCAAAATTGAAGGGTTTGTGATTTTAGGAAAAAGACCAGAAAAGGAGGAAAAAATGGAAAAAAGCAAATCGGAAGTAATACAAAAATAATGAATAAATAGAGATTAAAAAATATAAATAAATAAAGTCGACAAATAATATCATCTAAAAATTAAAAGTATATAAAATTTAATTAACATTTTATCATTATTTTGTTTGATTTTATAAAAAATAACACACAACTTACTGTGATTCATTAATAAAATTTCATTTAATTAATTATTAATTAAATTGAAATAAAATTAAAATTAAAATAAAATTTGATTTATTCCAAACAAAAGTTTATGTAAACATATGTTGAAAATTATGAAATAATTGTTAAAAAATAATTTTTTATAAAATTTTTTTAAAAGATATAATTGATGTTGTTATTATGAAAAAATGTATCTTTATTAAATTTATATCATTTTAATAATTTTTATATTTTTTAAAAAATTAACTAATTAATTATTTCCTTAATCACACTCAAAATAAATACAACAAAATTAAAATTTTTAAGGAGATAACATTTAAAATTGATAAAAAATAAATATTGAAATTATATTAATAATAAATTGAAAAACGAATTGGAAAAAAAACTAAAATGAAAAAATTTGTTGTAAAAATATAACAATCCAAATTATTAAATATCATAATGAGGAATGAACACTTGATGCTATCAAATACATCAATTGGAATGAAATGCACAGTGTTTATTTGTTAAGGAATAGATATTTTATCAAATGTGATAAATTATGTAACACATATATTGTTATTAGCCTGGCAATTGTTGATCTTTTTTTATATTCAAATGTCTAAATCAATATTGTTTTATATATGATTAATTTTCAGAATCTTGCAATTTTACAGGGCCAATTTATTGTTTACAATGTGTATATATATTTTGATTTATAGAATTTATATTATTTGAAATGTGATTTATCATGTATCAGTTGCAATGGTTTTTGACAAAATTATTCTAAATAATGTTTATTTTTATTTGATGTTTTAAATTGATGTTGTGTAAAATGTGATTCATTGTTTTTATATTGTAACGGTTTAACTTTTAACGATTGTCTTCATTGTTATGATAAATATGTTTTAATTTCCGGCAAATGTATTCAATGCGACCCATCCTGTAATGCTTGTTGTGTATTAAATTCCAATAATTGTTTGATGTTTAACACTTATTTATTTTTTAAAAATGGGTATTTTTTGAAGTGTGATTATTTATTTATTCGCAATGTTATTTATTCTAATTATTATTATTATTTATTATTTATTCGCAATATGTTATTCAAGTAGATTTGGAAATTGCCAAACGTGTAAATTAAATTGTTATTACTCGAGGGGGTATTGTCTTCATTGCAGTTCAAATTGTAATCTTGTTATGGAACTGCTGAATACCATTGTTTGACTTGTAAGACTGGTTTTTATTTAATAAATGGATATTGTATTTTTTGTAATACAAATTGTAGTAGTTGCAGTGGTAATTTCACAAATAATTGCGATTCTAGTCCATTTTTTTATTTAATTAATGGGTCTTGTATTTAATGTCCATTAAATTGTGGCTCTTGTAAAGGTTTTAAATGTTTGACTTGTGAATGGAATTATTATTTATCAGACAATATATGTTATCAATGTCATTCTGAGTGTGGTAGTTGTGATGGTCCTGAAAAAAAACAGTTGTACTGGGTGTGATGATAAATATTATCTCGATAATAATCATGGGAATTATAATCACACGTGTCTGCCATGCCAGACACATTGTGTGGACTGTTTTAATAATGTACATTATTGTTATGAATGTAAAAGTGGATATTATGTGTCAAATAATTATGAATGTACTAAAACTGAAAACAAACCTTGCACATATGGAAATTATAACGGAGAATGTTATGAATGTATTGTTGGATATTATTTGGATAAAAATGATTGTTTAAAATGTGCTAGTATATGCATACAGTGCTTTGGACCCACAACAGATCAGTGTTATTATTGTGTTGATGGGTATTATATTTCATTTTATACATGCCTCCAATGTTCTTCAAATTGTCAAATTTGCAAAGACAATTCAACAATTTGTCTGTCTTGTCAATCGGGATCGAGGTATTTGTGGAAGAACCAGTGTCTTGCTTGTGTTAATTTTAAGCCTGGGCATTGCAAATCAAATACGACAAAATGTGATTTGTGTAATGACGGATATTATTCTGATATTGGGATTTGTAAACCTTGTGACTCGATTTGTTTCACGTGCTGGGGTTCTCCTTCGAAGTGTTTGTCTTGTGAACCATGGACTTACCTTTCAAATTCGACTTGTCTCACTTGTGATGCAAATTGTGAGACATTTGGGTGTCACACGACTTTGGGATGCACGAATTGTAAACCAGGATACTTCCCAAAGAACCTTAAATGTAGCCAATGCAGTGAAATCGCAAATTGTGTTACTTGCAGCCAAACTGAACAAAAGTGTACAACTTGTACATCTGAAATTTCATATGTCAATTCAAATGGGTTGTGCTTACCTTGCGACGGGACATGATGAACTTGTAACAATGATGGAACATGTAACGGGTGTATTGAGAATTATGTACCATATTCGATCTACAATGGATCATGTCAGGCTTGTTCTTCTTTTGACCCCAATTGTAATTCATGTGACTTTAATCAATTTAGAATATGCACACAATGTATAGACAATTATTACTTGAACTCAAATGGCACTTGTTCTCAGTGTGATTCTTCTTGTGAGTATAACGGATGCAACAAAAAGACTGGAATATGCAAGAAGTGTGCAGTGGTCTACACTAAACAAACAGTGGACAGTGTTCGATGTCAGTTGTGTCGGTTCTATGATCCAGATTGTTTAACTTGTTCACAAACAACCAGAAAATGTACAATGTGTAAAATTGGCTTTTATCCACATCTATCATCGCCGTTTTCTTGTATTTGTTGTCATTCCACTCGTGAATATGATTGTTAAAATACAATGGGAAATTGTATCACTTGTATCAATGATTATTACACAATCAACCCATCAAATCCAAAACAGTGTCAGAGTTGTTATGATTTTGACCCACATTGTCTTAGCTGCTCAACAACAGAGAGAAAATGTATGAGTTGTTTAAGTGGGATTTCGTATTTGGTGGATAAAGTTTCTTTATTGTGTGATTCAACGTGTTTAACATATAACTCAAGTGGTATTTGTTTGCAATGTATTGATAATTATGTGTTTAATGAACCAAAAACAAAACAGTGTTTGAGTTGCAACTCATTTGACATAAACTATGAGAAGTTCAAGAAATTGCACAAAATGCAAAACAAATATGTACCCCAATACATCCACTGGAAAGTGTAAACCATTCGATTTTTAGTGTAGTGGTAGTTGCGACACAACAAATGGAATATGCACAAATTGCGTTTCTGGTAAAGTTTTTTATGAACCAAAAAGTAACAAATGTGTTGAGTGTTTTTTTGATCTAAACTGTGCCGAATGTGCTTTGAATGGAGAAAGAAAATGTGTTAATTGTCGGGAAAACAGTGGGTTTTATTTACTGAATGGTATTTGTGTTGCATGTGATTCGACTTGTAAACCAAATACATGTGACTCAACAAATGGATTTTGTTCACAGTGTTTGTTAAATTACACAGTAACTTCTCCAATATCAAAAAATGTGTGTCAAATGCTCTGAATTTGATTCATATTGTTCAAATGTGCAGTTGATTATACAATAAATGTAAATTGTGTTTAAGTGGAAAATACCCCAAACCATCAGAAAACAACAAATGTAGTAATTGTGACCCCACATGTGGAGGTTCATGCAGTGGTACAACAGGTGTGTGTACTGGTTGTTCATCGAATTACGTCTTTTCAACTACAAACAGTTTAGTGTGTGAATCATGTTCAACATTTGATTCAAATTGTCTGACGTGTGACTCCACATATCAGAGAAAGTGTGTTGTGTGTCGAACAAGTGGGATGTATCCAAGTGACTCGACATACAAATGTGTCTAATGTGATACAACATGCAATGGTAACTGCGATCAAAAAACTGGCAAGTGCACTGGGTGCATCAACAATTACGTGTTTGAAGCAACAAAAAGTCGTGTGTGTGTTGCTTACAAATCGTTTGATCAAAATTGCAAAAATTGTTCGTCTGATTACAACAGAAAATGTGTTGAGTGTGAGACTGGATTCTATCCAAATGCTAGTAGGGTCTGTGTTAGATGTGACACAACCATCACAAATTGTTTTACGTGTGATTCAAAAGAAAACATTTGTTATACATGTCAAGACCCTTATTATTTGTCAAATCAAACATGTTTGAGTTGTGCTTCTGGAACTTATAAAAACACCGAAACATCACTTGAAAAGTGTTATATTAACATTCCAAGTTTTCAAGCTTGTTCAACCAAAACTGTTGGAAATCCCAGGTGTACTACATATTATTCACCATTCCAGATCAATTCTGATTTAAATGCGTGTGATTACTGTACAGCAAACAAAAGTTACAACACAACAACAAAGAAGTGTGAAAGTAATGGAAATGGCTGTCCAACTGCTGTGAGTCAAGAAAGGTGTTTAAGTAGTTCAGACGAGTATTATTTATCCAACTACAAGTGTGTGTTAGCAAATAACTGTGTGGATAAATCAACATTTTCAAAAGTATCTTGTGACTGTTCGTATCAAATATAAGTTGGCTCAGACTGCCAAAGCACTCTATCAAAATGTAAGTATCAGAGAAACTACAAAACCCAATGGAATGTATTCAATGTGAAGATAATAATGTTTTTAACAATAATATTTGTCAAGATGCTATTAAAATGTTATCATTGAGAAATGGTGTGGTTTATAGATGTGATAATGGCAATTATTTGAATGAAAACAATCAATGTTTGACATGTAAAAACAACTCTTATATTTGATAAATTACAATTCAAACACAACAGTTGTGTAGTGTGCAGAAAACAAAGTTTATTATTTCAAAACAATGAATTGTATAAGTGATAACAATTGTTTAAAATACGGCAAAGATTATTGTTCGAAGTGTGTTGGTAATAACATGGAACTTAAATATGGACAATGCTCTGTGTGTTCTGTTTCAATTTGTAACTATTGTGTAGGTGGAAAGTGCAAGAAGTGTAACAAAAATTATGTGATACAAACAAATGGATTATGTGTTGAACAAAGTGAAGTTGGTTGTGTCAAAGCTGATGTTTTGTTTTGTGTGACGAGGGGTTTTGCTTGATTGACTCGCTTAACGATGAAGGAAAATACGATTTTTGTATTCCGATTACTACTACTCAAATAGCTGACTGTAAATACTCATTGATTTTACAATCGATATATGTTGAGTGTTTGGATTCTTTTAAACTAAAGAATGGTAATTGTTCAGAGAATTTTGATGACGAAAACGATGAAAAAAAATGTTACAAACACAAAACAAGTGATGAAATTTGTTGAAACTTCCTGTTTTAATCGAAATAACAAAGGGTGTGAAAGATGCAATTCTGGTTACTATAACATTAACAATGAATGTGAGTTGTGTTCTAATCATTGTGATAAGTGTTACAACACAACATATTGCTTAACATGCGATCCACAGTATTACCTATCATCCACCTTTACATGTGAACCGCTTGGCAATTTGTTTACAAAATGTAAATTGACACTGCCGACGGGTGGTGGGTGTGCAATTTGCAAAGACAAGTACTATAAACAAAAAACTGATTGTATTTCTTGTGATGAGTCATGTGGTACTTGTGTTGATGGTGCTTCTTGTTTGACTTGCCAAAATGAATATTTCAGACTTTCAGGAAGTAAAAGTAAATTGTGTGTATCATATGACAACTTGACTAACTGCATAACAAAAACGCCATTTGGGTGTCTGAAGTGTGAGGATGGACATTACTTGTATGATTACATTTGCAAGAGTTGTTTTGAAAATTGCATCTCATGTGACAATGATCAAAGCTGTAAAAGCTGTGTTGAAAAGGACTATGTGTTGGTTGACTTACAGTGTGTGGATTATAAAAATGTCGAATTTTGTCTGTCTGCGAACAATTCAAAGTGCACAGAATGTGAAGGATTTCACAAACCAAATGATGTTGGTGATTATTGTGTCAAAGAGACAAATTATGGATTGGTGGTTGGCGTGCCAATAACAGTCACTTTTGTGATAATAGTGTTTATTATTGCTTTAATACCAATTGTGATATCAATGATACAAAAAAGAAAACAAAAGAAGAAAGAACAGAACATTTGCAACTTCAAAATGAGTCGGTCAAACATTGAGATGGTCACATTGAGTGCAAATTTAGTGACAAACAAAACAACACTGAAATTTGATTTGGATAACAATCACCCACTGAAAGTCGATTGTGAAACAAGAGATTTGTTATGTCTTGGAAATGTGTCTAAAAGCAACTTGAAAGTACAATTCAGTGTGATGGAAGGGTGTGACTATTATGAAATAAGAAGTGTGCCACCATTTGTCACATTGAAGCCTGGATATGCTTGTGAGTTTGAAATAATTATTAAGCCGTTGTGTACTTGTGTTACTAAAGAAAGTGTGGCGATCACTTCGTTAAATATAGCAACTGGTGTCATTGAAAACGCAAAAATGGAAATGAAAATCGAGACGGAACAAACAACTAAATTGAATTACAGAGAAATAACAGAAGACGAGAAGCTTGGCGAAGGAAGTTTCGGAATAGTTTATAAAGGGCAATACAGAGGCGTCTGTGTTGCAATCAAAAAGATGAAACAACTTGATAATTATGAAAGTGGACTTGCAGAATTTGAGAAAGAAGTTGCGATACTTGACAAATTCCGATGTGAATACATCATACACTTCTATGGCGCTGTATTTATACCAAGTAAGGTGTGCATGGTCACCGAATTCGCATCATATGGATCAATTCAAGATTTGATCAAACACAAAAAAGTGATGAAGTTGCGAATGAAATTTTTACTAGATGCAGCAAAAGGCATTCAGTATTTAGACGAAAATGGCATTTTACACAGAGACATCAAACCAGACAACTTCCTTGTGTTATCACTTGAAATAAACGAGAAGGTTAATGCAAAATTGACTGATTTTGGGTCATCAAGAAATGTGAATATGCTGCAAACTAACATGACATTCACAAAGGGTGTAGGAACACCAACTTACATGGCACCCGAGATTTTGAAACAAGATAAGTACAAAAAGAGTGCAGACATTTATTCGTTTGCAATCACTATGTTCGAGACAATTTTTTGGAAGGAAGCATTTCCAAAAAGTGAATTCAAATATCCATGGAAAATTGCAGACTTTGTTAACAATGGAAATCGCTTACAAAAAGTGGATTGTATAACTGATGAACAGTATAAACTAATATCAAACTGTTGGACCCACAACAAAGAAGATAGAATCACAATAGAAGCTGCGAGAGAGCAACTTGAAAATTGTTGAATTGATAATATACTCAGTTCTATTAATATGTTTTATATGGGTTTAATCCAAAATTGTTATATTCAATAAAATTTATATATTAATAATCTAAGTTAAATTTTTATGATGTGTACAAGTGTATTTAACTTTTTTGATTACAATTTATATTTATTTAATATTATTGCTTGTCACAACCAGGCGTTTACCAAAATTTACACGGTGAATGCCGAATTCTAAAAATGCTTCAGTCTTATTTTATAGAATGTTTTTTAAATAAATGTGTTTTTGGGAAAAAGTTAACACCAGCTCCCTGTTTTTTAAAACAAAAACGAGGCAAAAAAATTAATACGCCTGGTTGTGTTGTTTGTTAATAAAAATTGTATATTTATTTTTAAAAATTAGAGTTATAAATATGTCTGTTTAATATAATTAATATTGTTTTGATATAAATAACTATTGTAATAATTTATGTTAGCTCTATAAAATCGAGATTGTTTATTTTGTAAAACACTTAAAATAAATTCAATGTTATTTAAGTTGTTTAGTGTTTTCACATTTACGATTCATTTATTTGTCTGTTTCATAAAGAAGATACATTGTAACTAACTCTAATTTTAAACTTGTTTATTTAAAAAAATTTTAACACAACATAAAAACAGCTCGTTTATTTAAAAACAATTATTTTTAATTGTAATCTACTTGGTAAATATTAAAAATGTACAATTTTTATTACGCTTCAAGCTTGTTATACATGTCCAACTCATTATTCTCCTTAATAATTCTCAAAAATGAGTTTTATTTTTGACAACATCTTCAATGTAACCCATTATTTTCAGAAGGACATTCGCATAATCGACAATATTGGTATATGATTTATCATAATCATCTATATCAACAACCCATTTGCCATTTATTTTTACAATTTAACATATTCAAATGCTTTATTATTTCTTTTACACAATACAGAAATTTCTGTATTATGTAAAAGAAAAAAAAAAGAATTTACTAATGTTTTTTTAATCTTCAGAATAATTAACAATCCTATATATATATACATTTTAAATATTGTCTATATTGAAATAGTCTTCCCCAAATATCAAAACATTAACGAAATAATAAGCTTTTGACCAGTTCCATCTTTTCAAAACACAATTTAGTCCCAACCAATATTAAAAACTTCACTCATACTTTAAAAATAATTAAAGAATGGGGAGAAAGTAAC